ATTGTGCTATAAAATAAATATCGACTGAAAGAATGGTATTTTAAGTTTAGTCAGAAGCTTATAAAACTGTGAAGGAGTCATTTCTGACCCCATAAATCATTTATATTCTTGATCAGCATCAACAGCTGAATCGATCTAACTATGTTCGGTTGAAAAATTTTTTTTGAAAATTTGTTCGATTTTTGCAAAAAACGATAAGGGGTTACATCATTAAAATTGTCAAAAATCGACAAAAATTTTCATTTTCAATTGAGTATGCAGTTTTATTGCCCCAATAAAAACTAGCATAGGAAAGGTTTCCGAATTGAAATTAATGCATTTTTGGCTTAGTTACGCGTTTTTAAAAATTTTATTTATTGACGAAATTGTCCTATAAAATTTAGATAAATATCGACTCAAAGAATGGTTTTATAAGTTCAGTCAGAAGAGTGTAGAACTGCGAAGGACTGATTTCCTACTAAATTGAGTATGCAGATTTGTTACCCTAATAAAAACTAGCATTGGACGGGTTTCCGAATTAAAATTAATGCATTTTTGGCTTAGTTATGAATTTTTTAAAATTTGATTTATTGACAAAATTGTGCTATAAAATAAATATCGACTGAAAGAATGGTATTTTAAGTTTAGTCAGAAGCTTATAAAACTGTGAAGGAGTCATTTCTGACCCCATAAATCATTATATTCTTGATCAGCATCAACAGCTGAATCGATCTAACTATGTTCGGTTGAAAATTTTTTTTGAAATTTGTTCGATTTTTGCAAAAAACGATAAGGGGTTACATCATTAAAATTGTCAAAAATCGACAAAAATTTTCATTTTCAATTGAGTATGCAGTTTTATTGCCCCAATAAAAACTGGCATAGGAAAGGTTTCCGAATTGAAATTAATGCATTTTTGGCTTAGTTACGCGTTTTTTTAAATTTGATTTATGGACAAAATTGTCCTATAAAATATAGATAAATATCGACCCAAAGAATGGTTTTATAAGTTCAGTCAGAAGAGTGTAGAACTGCAAAGGACTGATTTCCTACTAAATTGAGTATGCAGATTTGTTACTCTAATAAAAACTAGCATTGGACGGGTTTCCGAATTAAAATTAATGCATTTTTGGCTTAGTTATGAATTTTTTAAAATTTGATTTATTGACAAAATTGTGCTATAAAATAAATATCGACTGAAAGAATGGTATTTTAAGTTTAGTCAGAAGCTTATAAAACTGTGAAGGAGTCATTTCTGACCCCATAAATCATATATATTCTTGATCAGCATCAACAGCTGAATCGATCTAACTATGTTCGGTTGAAATTTTTTTTTTTAAATTTGTTCGATTTTTGCAAAAAACGATAAGGGGTTAAAATTGTCAAAAATCGACAAAAATTTTCATTTTCAATTGAGTATGCAGTTTTATTGCCCCAATAAAAACTAGCATAGGAAAGGTTTCCGAATTGAAATTAATGCATTTTTGGCTTAGTTACGCGTTTTTTTAAGTTGATTTATTGACATATTGTCCTATAAATATAGATAATATCGACTCAAAATGGTTTTAATTTTTTTTTTATTTGATTTATTGACTATTGTCTATAAAATATAGATAAATATCGACTCAAAGAATGGTTTTATAAGTTCAGTCAGAAGAGTGTAGAACTGCAAAGGACTGATTTCCTACTAAATTGAGTATGCAGATTTGTTACCCTAATAAAAACTAGCATTGGACGGGTTTCCGAATTAAAATTAATGCATTTTTGGCTTAGTTATGAATTTTTTAAAATTTGATTTATTGACAAAATTGTGCTATAAAATAAATATCGACTGAAAGAATGGTATTTTAAGTTTAGTCAGAAGCTTATAAAACTGTGAAGGAGTCATTTCTGACCCCATAAATCATATATATTCTTGATCAGCATCAACAGCTAATCGATCTAACTTTTTAGGTTGAAAAATTTTTTTGAAAATTTGTTCGATTTTTGCAAAAAACGATAAGGGGTTACATCATTAAAATTGTCAAAAATCGACAACAATTTTCATTTTCAATTGAGTATGCAGTTTTATTGCCCCAATAAAAACTAGCATAGGAAAGGTTTCCGAATTGAAATTAATGCATTTTTGGCTTAGTTACGCGTTTTTAAAATTTTATTTATTGACGAAATTGTCCTATAAAATTTAGATAAATATCGACTCAAAGAATGGTTTTATAAGTTCAGTCAGAAGAGTGTAGAACTGCAAAGGACTGATTTCCTACTAAATTGAGTATGCAGATTTGTTACCCTAATAAAAACTAGCATTGGACGGGTTTCCGAATTAAAATTAATGCATTTTTGGCTTAGTTATGAATTTTTTAAAATTTGATTTATTGACAAAATTGTGCTATAAAATAAATATCGACTGAAAGAATGGTATTTTAAGTTTAGTCAGAAGCTTATAAAACTGTGAAGGAGTCATTTCTGACCCCATAAATCATTTATATTCTTGATCAGCATCAACAGCTGAATCGATCTAACTATGTTCGGTTGAAAATTTTTTTTGAAAATTTGTTCGATTTTTGCAAAAAACGATAAGGGGTTACATCATTAAAATTGTCAAAAATCGACAAAAATTTTCATTTTCAATTGAGTATGCAGTTTTATTGCCCCAATAAAAACTAGCATAGGAAAGGTTTCCGAATTGAAATTAATGCATTTTTGGCTTAGTTACGCGTTTTTAAAAATTTTATTTATTGACGAAATTGTCCTATAAAATTTAGATAAATATCGACTCAAAGAATGGTTTTATAAGTTCAGTCAGAAGAGTGTAGAACTGCGAAGGACTGATTTCCTACTAAATTGAGTATGCAGATTTGTTACCCTAATAAAAACTAGCATTGGACGGGTTTCCGAATTAAAATTAATGCATTTTTGGCTTAGTTATGAATTTTTTAAAATTTGATTTATTGACAAAATTGTGCTATAAAATAAATATCGACTGAAAGAATGGTATTTTAAGTTTAGTCAGAAGCTTATAAAACTGTGAAGGAGTCATTTCTGACCCCATAAATCATTTATATTCTTGATCAGCATCAACAGCTGAATCGATCTAACTATGTTCGGTTGAAAAATTTTTTTTGAAAATTTGTTCGATTTTTGCAAAAAACGATAAGGGGTTACATCATTAAAATTGTCAAAAATCGACAAAAATTTTCATTTTCAATTGAGTATGCAGTTTTATTGCCCCAATAAAAACTGGCATAGGAAAGGTTTCCGAATTGAAATTAATGCATTTTTGGCTTAGTTACGCGTTTTTTTAAATTTGATTTATGGACAAAATTGTCCTATAAAATATAGATAAATATCGACCCAAAGAATGGTTTTATAAGTTCAGTCAGAAGAGTGTAGAACTGCAAAGGACTGATTTCCTACTAAATTGAGTATGCAGATTTGTTACTCTAATAAAAACTAGCATTGGACGGGTTTCCGAATTAAAATTAATGCATTTTTGGCTTAGTTATGAATTTTTTAAAATTTGATTTATTGACAAAATTGTGCTATAAAATAAATATCGACTGAAAGAATGGTATTTTAAGTTTAGTCAGAAGCTTATAAAACTGTGAAGGAGTCATTTCTGACCCCATAAATCATATATATTCTTGATCAGCATCAACAGCTGAATCGATCTAACTATGTTCGGTTGAAATTTTTTTTTTTAAATTTGTTCGATTTTTGCAAAAAACGATAAGGGGTTAAAATTGTCAAAAATCGACAAAATTTTCATTTTCAATTGAGTATGCAGTTTTATTGCCCCAATAAAAACTAGCATAGGAAAGGTTTCCGAATTGAAATAAATGCATTTTTGGCTTAGTTACGCGTTTTTTTTAATTTGATTTATTGACAAAATTGTCCTATAAAATATAGATAAATATCGACTCAAAGAATAGTTTTATAAGTTCAGTCAGAAGAGTGTAGAACAGCGAAGGACTGATTTCCTACTAAATTGAGTATGCAGATTTGTTACCCTAATAAAAACTAGCATTGGACGGGTTTCCGAATTAAAATTAATGCATTTTTGGCTTAGTTATGAATTTTTTAAAATTTGATTTATTGACAAAATTGTGCTATAAAATAAATATCGACTGAAAGAATGGTATTTTAAGTTTAGTCAGAAGCTTATAAAACTGTGAAGGAGTCATTTCTGACCCCATAAATCATATATATTCTTGATCAGCATCAACAGCTGAATCGATCTAACTATGTTCGGTTGAAATTTTTTTTTTTAAATTTGTTCGATTTTTGCAAAAAACGATAAGGGGTTAAAATTGTCAAAAATCGACAAAAATTTTCATTTTCAATTGAGTATGCAGTTTTATTGCCCCAATAAAAACTAGCATAGGAAAGGTTTCCGAATTGAAATTAATGCATTTTTGGCTTAGTTACGCGTTTTTTTAAATTGATTTATTGACAAAATTATCCTATAAAATATAGATAAATATCGACTCAAAGAATGGTTTTATAAGTTCAGTCAGAAGAGTGTAGAACTGCGAAGGACTGATTTCCTACTAAATTGAGTATGCAGATTTGTTACCCTAATAAAAACTAGCATTGGACGGGTTTCCGAATTAAAATTAATGCATTTTTGGCTTAGTTATGAATTTTTTAAAATTTGAATTATTGACAAAATTGTGCTATAAAATAAATATCGACTGAAAGAATGGTATTTTAAGTTTAGTCAGAAGCTTATAAAACTGTGAAGGAGTCATTTCCGACCCTATAAATCATATTGAACAACGGCTGTTAATTCTGATCAATAATATATTTATTTATAGGGTCGGAAATGTCTCCTTTATTACATTACAAGCTTCTGACTGGAACTAAAATGCTCTTAAATGGGTCTTGCAATTTGAAACGGTTCGGAAATGACTGCATAGGGTCAAAAGGACTCTTAACATTTATTTCTAATTTTGTGATATTTTTTCTTTTAAATCGATATTTTTAAATAAGGCAATTGAAATATTATAAACTACAATACCTACCTTCATTGCGACACCGCTCCACAAATGCCAGGCCATCATCAATAACCACATGGAAGCGTTTATCTTGTTTTAGCTCGAAATACTGCTCGGCCACCTCCAACATGATGGGATCAATTTCCACAGCCGTAATTCTTGTGTGACTGCAAGGGAAACGTGTTTAATTAAGAGAGAAAACAATTAATGTTAAGTTGATTATAAACGCACGGTAAAGCAGCATGAAGAAAACTGCACAGGCCGCCGCCTCCCAGGCCAATGACAAGTACATCTTTTTCAACATCTTTCTTGGTATTCTGCAGCGTCGTGGCCAGTTGTACACCCACGGACATGTAGAGATGGTGTTGGCAGGCCAAGTAGCCAAAGTCTATCTTCTTTCGTTCCTTTTTGCCCTTTATTTTTACTTCAAGGGAATTGCATTATTAAAGTGTTCAAGTTTAAGCCTATAATACATACTTGACTTAACCAAGGCCTCCGACTGCACCACAAACTGATTGCTGAGGAATATAAGTCGTCGAAGGATTTTATCGTTGGCCTCCACTTCTTCGATGCGAAAATCTCCCGATATTTTGGAGAATCCACAAATCAGAGTTTCCCGTTTTCCCACGTCGGAGCCCAGCGAGAGGTATGGAATCTGCTCGCTGAGACCAGCCGGGGACAGGTTCTTTATGCTATCGGCCAGTTCAGATTTCACTTCATCCAGGGTACTGTAAATTTGGTCGCGATGCAGGGTAACCACAGCCAGTCTCTGGAATTTGGCCGAGTCCTGAAGCTTTCTCCTACCCGCAGGCGTGGCAAATAACCACTCCACTTCTCTTCCCTGGGGAACAATGAACGCCGCATATTTGCCGAGGCCTCGGGCTGGCGGTTGGTCCAGAATGTGGATGGTATAGCGAGGGGTTTGTTCCGAGGGCTGATGAAGATCCATTGTCACCTCATTGTGCCCAGCAATGTTGGACCTGGCCAATCCGTTGCACACTAAAGCAGCCTTTTGCACTGAGGAAACGGCGTTGATGAGCTCCGTGGCTGTGCCAAATCTCTGCATCTTGTCGCTACCGAAGCCGAACTCAAGAAGCTAAAAAATATATCTACTTAGTACATTTATTGTAATTAAAACATATGACTTACAGGCATGGGAAGGTTTTTGAACTTGGTAGCTATCACCACAAATACGGGCATTGCCAAGGCATCATCAGAGCTTTTCTCCTTGTTGGCCTGCTCCACTCCCAGGCAGTGAACGATTCGCAACATGCAGTTATTTCTGGGCATAAACTCTAGCAGAAACTTGAGGATGTGCTCTTGCAGCAGGGAAATACACACATAGCGACCTCCATTGCTAAAATCAAGAATATTTGTTAATTATAAAATAATTTAAATTAATTATATGCAAACGAACCGCATGGTCCTTAGGATCTCCTTGAAATAGTTCTCCACCACTTGTTTGGTCTCCTGGGCATCGTCCACAAACAAGGCGTCCAGGGTACCCTTATCCAAGGCCACAGAGAAACTTTCGTCAGCGAATGTCATCGCTGTGGCATCCATCTGCAGGAATTTCATATCTGGACGGGATTTGGCATTCAGTTCCAACATTTTCTTTACAGCTACTGGTGAGATATCGATGTTTGTAATGTCCCTGTGATAAAATAAATAAAAAATAAAAATATTAAGATGGAACTTAATTGAAAAGGGGATAGCAATATGCAAATTTAGTTCCTCATCTGGGAGAGGCGCATTTCTGCCTTGGTGTACATAGTGTCCCCCTCCCATCAACCTAATAGTTTTTCGCGACAATTTGGTGGGGGTTGCCTCCCCTCACAGCACATCCTTACCGAAATCCCGTGTCGTACATATCCATGCTCAGCTTGGAGTTGCCGCATCCCAGCATCAGGATCTTGTCCGCCGGCTTTATGTACTTGTGTATCTGGTCGCATAGCTCCAGGTATTCGCCATACCTTTAAAATAATTATTTTAAAAAACCTCGGCAAAAAACACATGTTGCTCTCAAGCTGTGGAGAGTCCCTTTCACATAATTGCTAAAATACTTACCACTCGAAGGCCTTCTCTCCCCGCTTCTTGAAAAACTCGTTCCAATAGTCCGTCTGCGCGAATTCCTCACGAGTTTTCGGCAATAAATTCATTGTTTAATAACAAAAAATAAACAATAAAGCGGCAAATGTGCTCGGAAAGAGCAGTATGACCGTCTGCTCACAAAATAAGTACCAAATTTGACCAGAGATGTCCACGGTTTCGTGCGAATGGCAAACCCAGCGGAAGAAGAAGAACATCAACACGTGCCGCTTACATTTGTTTTCTCGAATTGTTAAAAAAAATGGTTAAAACTAAGCGCAAGGCAGCACCTCCGCCGGTGGAACAGGACTCAGACAGCGATTCCAGCTTTGCCGAGTTGCAGCCCGAGGACGTGGAGTTCCACGACGACGAACCAGACAGTGACAGCAGCGACGATGCAGGCCAATCCACCAGTAAAAAACAGCCAAAAGCAGATCAGAATGGAGATGACGATGAAAAAGAAGGCGAGAATGAAGACGATGACGAGAATGGAGATGATGATGATGAGGATGAGGAGGACGACGATGAAGGGGACGACAAAACGCCCCGCCTGCCAGTCCTTAATCCTCTCAGCTTGATGAGAAACAAGGAACAACGAATGGCGCTCTTCAAAAAGATGAAGAAGGAAAAGCATAAGAAGAAAATGCAGGAGCGCCGCGCCAGACGCAAGGCCGGACTTCCTGCCAATCCGGGCCACACGATCGAAAGCCTGCGCGAGAAGGATCAGACAGAGGTGGCCAATCTCAATGACTCGGACAACGAAGAGTTGCAAAAGGAGCTGGAGCTGGACGATTTTAGTTCCTACTTCGAGCGCTCGTACGAGCCCAAAGTGCTGATCACCTTCGCCGACAATCCCGTGACCAAGACGCGCAAGTTCGGCCTGGAACTGTCGCGTATTTTTCCCAACGCGCTGGTCAAGATCAGGAACAAGTCTTCGGTAAAGAAGATCTGCAAAAGCGCTGAGCGCGAGGAGTTCACCGATGTGGTCATTGTTAACGAGGATCGGAGAAAGCCCAATGGCCTGCTGGTCATCCACTTGCCCAACGGTCCCACCGCCCACTTCAAGCTGTCCAATGTGAAGCTGACATCGGACATAAAGCGCGACCACAAGGAGATCACAAAACACCGGCCGGAGGTGATTCTGACCAATTTTACGACTCGTTTGGGACTGACAGTGGGCCGCATGCTGGGTGCCCTCTTCCATCACGATCCAGAATTTCGTGGCCGACGCGCCGTGACGTTCCACAACCAGCGCGATTACATTTTCTTCCGCCACCACCGCTACGAGTTCACCAAGGAGGGCAAGCGCGTGAAGCTGCGCGAACTGGGACCTCGATTCACGCTCAAACTTCGCTCCCTGCAGGAGGGAACTTTCGACAGCAAAACGGGAGACTATGCCTGGATCATCAGCAACAAGCGGCATGCCATGGAGTCGCGTAGACGTTTCTTCCTTTAGCTGGATTTCCATGCTTTGTATTTAGTTATAATGATAACGTAAATAAACCAAAAGATAATACAATTGACGAGTTTTCTTGAAGAGAGTAATAACCAAAAGCGACCGCCACATTGTTTTGTCGGGAGTTAAATAAAATACAAATTGCTTAGCCTAAATGTGCAACACTCAACAGTTAACCAATTGGCACACCACGAGACGAATGGTCTCCGCCACCGACTACATGGTGGGGCACTGTGGATTGGGACCGCCGACACCGGCAACAGCGGCTGTGGGATCGGCGAAGGGCAGATCACCGCCCGTCTCGGCCAGAATCTCTGGTGGCGGCTGTCCATAGTCCTGCAGCTTCCGCATATCGTCTAGCACCACACGGAACTTTTCTCTCTTCACGGTGGCCGAATCTTCAGGCTTCTCACTCTGTAAATGCCCCTCGATCACCTTGTACAGCTCCATTTGCTTCTGGTATCTGCAAAGATCAGGTTTCACGGTCAATGTTTATTCGTGGAATAACGCGTTACTGAGCTTACCTTTCCTTGTCCTCGGCCGACAGCTTGGCGTCGTTCTCCTCGAGGTACTTCGGGTATTTCTCCAGCAGCTCCCGGATGCTTGGCAGTAGGATCTCTGCAGAGAGTAGGCTCTGCATCATGCCCTCCATGAAGGGCAGGAACATGTTGCCATCGGCCTCGCCGGTCTGTTAAGAACAAAGTCAATGATTACTTGGCTTTACAGGAGAAGCATAAGAGAATTTAACATACTCCGTCGAGGTTCAGGGAGCCAAACATGCTGGCAATGTCGTTCTCGGATGCAGGCGCGGTTAGGTTCTCTGATCCCTCCTGCAAACCCTTCAGGGCCTGTGAAATGCTGTCGGAATACTTCGAAACGTCCTCGTCGGTGGCCGAGTTTTCGCCACTCAATGTGAGGGCCGCTGCCTCGGCCATCTTCTTGAACCCGGCCATGATCTGGTCGGGATCTTGCGGAAGAGGCGGAATATCACCGGTGGGAGTGTTAGGGCCCCCGAAAAGCGTGTTCATGCGATCGGCCAACACCTTGGCCTGCTCACTGTCAGGGGGCGAAAGGTAAGAATACAAAGTTCAATTGATGGCACACATTAGCACTCGAGATGAGGCAATCTGTCGTGACTCACATGAAAAACGCATCAGGGTCGTCAGAGCCCGCGGCTCCCTCGGTGGCTGCTCCATCCGCGGCCTTGGCCTTCTCCTCCTTGTCGCCACTGCCGCTTTTGTCGAAATCCTGCAGAGCACCTGTAAAGATTCACAATCGAAAGGTGTGCAAGACACAGGAGACGTTATATAATTGGTTTCGCTAGATTACGGTCGATTAGGCGCGTGGCAGGTACTCACTGTCCAGCAGGTCGTTTAATTCATCGCCGTTTTTCTTTTCCTCGGACATTGTGTAATTTTAATTAAAATTACGGCAGGTTGGTTATTTCAGGTGGAGGCTAGGGATGTGTAAGAACCGAAGTTTGTATCGATATATTCGATGTATTCATTCGATTACTTTTTATGCGGCAGCTGGTTTGATCGATTTTTTTCAAAAACAGATAAGGGGTCACATTTTAAGATTTAAAACTGAGTATGCAGATTTATTAACCTAATAAAAACTAGCATAGCAAAGCTTTCCGAATCAAAATGAATGATTTTATGGCCGAGTTATGGTATTTGAAAATTTGGATTTTCCCAAAACTTATCTCAATAAAAACAAATACAGAAAAGTTTTAAAAACTGCAAACATAGGTGTACACAATCAAACATAATTTGCCAAAAGTTGCATTCTTTTCCGAATATTGATTAAACATTTTTTCTTATAATGCTAGAACAATATCCGATAAATTTAGTTAAACTTTGAATTAACAATTTAATTTGTTCATTTTATTTTTAAAACCGAAAACCTGGAAATGCCAAATTAAAACTTAGCAACATCCGCTCATGCATGCCTCTTTTCGCAAACAAAATGAGACAATCCAAGGACATTAGTCGAAGATTATCTAAAATAATCACCCAAAATATTTACGGTTGTTCTGCGAAACACCACACACAACACACAGAAACTCCCCGGGTCATGCCATGCCATGCACCTTGCTGTGCGTGAACGAAGATCGGCGACCGAGCTGCGACCAGAACCCAAACCGCACATAGCGGAGTGCTGAGTGCTCAGTGGTGAGCGTTGAGGGGTCGCAAATCCGCCAAGGTCAATTCCTTAATGGCGACTCTGATGCGCGACCAATTCCGAAACCAGGACGTCACACCCATAGTGGGCAGGGACATATGGATTTTGCAGTAGGGAGTCCACTCCCGCCCGAAGGTCATTGGGAAAAAGAGGAACCCCGCTTGCTTTTTCGATTCCTCTCATATGGTCAATTGGCTGGTATGGCTGTTTTTCAACTTTAACCGCACGGTTTACCAGAAGAGCAAGACGAATCTGCGATTTGGTACGCCCACGCAGGGCATTGCAGTATTGTGGTAAATTTGTGTGCTTCTCCCTCCACTTGGGGCGGAGTTTTCCTCGGATTCGGATACCCGGGAATGTGTACACAGCGTGGGCGGAGCTTCGTCTGAAATAATGCATAATTTGGTGTATTATTTGTGGCTTAGGGAGGGTCAACCCGCATGAAAATGGGAATTTCACTTTTTTATGACTTGCCCTCATTTTCTTTATATTTGCATTCTATGACCCTAATATATTCTTTCAGTTTTTAGTTTGTAACCGAGAAAATCTCCTTTTTTCAGGCAAACATATTTTTTTCTTCTAGCAGAAGAAGTAACCTACAATCCTAACCCGAATACAATTGAAAATATCGCTCAACTTCGACTTTCTTAGAATCGAAACGGTTCGAAAAGTCAAGACAACCGTCAAGAAGTCAAAACAAAAGTCGAAAACGTAAAAACCCCTTTCGCTGGCTAAAACAATTGACACTCACACCCGATCCCAATAAAACAAAACTCGCTCTTTTTGACATAATTTTTAGCTAAACAAACAAATCGCCATAAAAGTTGTTTATTCGTATATAATCGGTATGGGTCTTACCTGAAACTCCAGAACACGAACTCTATGGTTCCGCCGAAGAGTCCAAGGAACGGAACCCCAGACTCGAACCGTCATAAAGTAGACATCAGGATCCGGATCCTGTCTCTCATTTTACTTCCTCCCCTGCGCACACGGACATTTTTTTTTTAACTTTGCTAGGATATACAACCTTTCCATATATATTGTACATACATTTATTGGCTGCGATTTCACGGTCGCTGATCGCAGCGTTTTTATTTTTTCGACTCTTCAGCATCCTTCCAGCGAAAGAGGCGCAATTTATGATCCACTGATCAGGGCATAATGGATTCCGCGATTGTTCAGTAATGGCAATAATTGCGGTTTTATATGAGCTTGTCATTTAGGTAACAGGTTGTGGCGTGTGACTGCAAAGGCAATATATTTTATTAGGTTTTAATTAATGGAAAATATGAAAAACATAAATTAAAAATGCCCTTTTTTTGTATTATTTAATTATTTAATTTTGTATTTTTATCAAAACTTTTTTGCCGTCGACATGATTACCGCTTTCGTTTGATATCTGGGCCATGTTAATTGCGATTACAAGGCTGGTAGTTTTTCCTGGAAAACTCTCAGTTTTCCTTTGAACGAAGACAACTGCAAGCAGCTTTCCAAGACACCCACTTCCATCAACCATTGAGCAATGGGGCGAACTCTTCACGCTCTGACACCCATCGCTCTCCATCAAAGTGCCCATGCAAATGAGCCCTTGCGTCTGTCGTACGTTTCCTCCAAGGGATGGCTCCCAGGAGGGGAAAGGAGAACTAGGGTCGTCTGCTGCTCCAGATGATGTGGGTAGATGCGACTGCCCCTGGTCTCTGTTCTGTTTGATTAAGCGGAAATTAAGTGTGCGTTTCGGTTGCAGCCTCCCCAATTCGCCATGCTTGCCTTTTTATCGGCAGTCGCTGCACATAAATGTATATTTTTTATGTTCTCCGTCCATGTTTTGGAAGAGTTGCTATTCAAGTGGTTGAAGAATTGCATCTAATTAAAACCCTAAAGGGCGGTCATTTTTAACCAGGGTTAAAAGAAGTTTTGATGTATTTTGGGTAAGAATATTTATCAAAGCGTTTAAATCGGAAGTCATAAATATAACTACAAATAGTAAGCTATAATTCATAAGATTCTGAGTAAGATGGATCCTCAGATGCTTTTCCGTAGCACCTTTCTCATTTCTACATATCTCATATTTTTGTTTAAGTAAGCAGTTCACTCTCAGCTTTAAATAAATAAATATATCTTGTGTTTAGAGCTTTAAAAACTTATATTCAATTTCTTATCGCTTTCCCTTCCCCTCCTAAAACTAATGTATAAATAATCACAGGCTCTGGAAATCATTTTCCATTTGCAATGCATTTTTTGTAAATTTGGGAAAACGCAGGACGGAGCCAGTGATTAATGAAACAATTGAATAATTTTATTTAAATTCGCATACATCCGATTCGAAGCGTGGCTAATGGACAAACGCCGCCGATGATGCCCCCAAACACAGAATCCAATCCCGCGAGATGTGAGAAAAACACCACCTACTTTATGGCCGATACTCCATTGGTAACTAATGATGCCATATAGGGTTTCGATCCCGAGCGATCCCCGGATCGTTGCTACAAAGCAGAGCAATTACAGATCGAAGAACCGGACAACAGGTTGTTGTTTGTGATGGGAAATGTGGCTGTGGCTGTGGAGTTGGAGATGGAGATGGAACCACTCCACTCTGGCCCGGCCGGAAAACAAATTAATCTTGTTGACGTCGCGGCCTCGTCACTTTCTTCGGCAGGTTGAGGCCCAGGTCCAGATATAGAGGCCCAGGTGTTTGATCTCGACCTGATGCTGATCTTCTGTTGGACAACGATGGGTTGCGCCTACCTTTGCGCCTTCTGTTTAATGATCAATTTGTTGGCCACCGCCTCAGATGTGTGCCGCCAGCGTTTAGCAGTCGATTGGCTTGGATTGTTGTGTTTTGTGTGTTTGTGTGCTAGAAGCGCTTTGTTGTGCCTCAGGCTAATGAGTTTCTCGAAAGTGGGTGTATGTGGCAGGGGCTCCCCTTTCGGCCCTGGGCTATGTTTCCTTTTGCCCTCCAGATATTTAATTTCTTAAATGACCTGCGAAATATCTGCCAGACGTAGCGACGTCAAAGTTACACAGGGAACCAGTTGTAGTTTTCAATGAATATTAAGGGTCTTTGTACAAACAAATATATACAAATATCTGAGGATTATTTAAGATTCTACATAATTTGCATACTCTTTTCTTTTTTGTTTAAAAATTTAAGCATTCAAATGAGGAAATCCTACTCTGACTTTTCCACATGAAGTGCCCATTCCCACAGCGCATGGCGAATGCATAGGTGCGGTCGGGGTGCCAAAACCAACGGATTGTGGACAGGGGCGAGGTCAGAGGTCGCCTCCGATCCGATCGAGCCATATGAGAGTTGCTAATTTGCAGACAAAGCAGTTCCGCGGAAGCCACCTCGCGACCCACAAACAACTAATGCCTTCAATTAGCCCGGCTAATCTGCTACCAAGAGCAAGGGTTAATCGCATTCGCCGTGCTGCTGATCGCGTCGGGAAATCGGGAAATCGGAAAATCGGAGAGTTCGGGGCAATGGGAAAGGCCCTCGGCTCCCCGCCCTTCGATCGGGCGTGGGCGTGGGCTGCGTTAAGCCGCAGTATTTTTGACATTCCAAATCCTTTCCTTACCTGGGATTCCTCGGTCCGGCGACGGCTTTAACGCGTTCCACCCAGAAACGGCCATGGCCAATCGTTTACAAATGTTGATCAATAAAACGTCGGACTGTAATGCGATTATCCGCTATAATCGTGCGATCAACACTCGAGAACTTTTCCAAAATATTTGAAAAAGTCAACTGGCGATCAGCAGGATCTACGGGATCCAGGCTCGCATCCTGGGCCTAAGCTGGTGCGACATTCCCTCTAATCTTGCACTTTGTCGCTATTTGTTTGCATGCTTTAGCGGGGATTTCATTTTACGATCACTCCGAAGAAATATCTTCTCTGCAGACTCGGCGATTTGAAGGGATGGCCAGCCAGGGCAGCCCCCTTACTGGGACTACTCGTATTTACTAAAACTTACTACGGATTAAGCGAAAAGTCAATCCTCGATGGCAGTATGTTGGGTGGAGTGGAAATATTTGAGGATCAACGCAGAATGCACGAGGATCAAGAGTGGCTTTTAGTCCTTGAGCTAGAAAATAGAGGGTTGATCTGAATATCCATAAGATATCAGATATAAGACATCAATTCTTTTAAGAAATATAGCTTGGACTTCTTTAACTCAACGATTAACTTTTAAAAATATAATTTCAATTTTTTTAAATAAAAAATATTTATCCATGTGTTCTTAAACTTCAGACTATGAGGATCCATTCTATTTTAATACAAAAAAAAATGTAACTAAGGATAATA